AACGTAAACCTATGTGCAGCGGATCTAAAGATTTGACGTAGAGAACTTACGGCTTAAAATTTATATAGATATGGTTGATCACAAACGGTTGACCGCAATTGATTGACTGCAAATCACGTCTTGGGTTGCACGAACAAGATCAGATCAAAATCGGATCAAACGGATGCAAACAGATCAAAACGAAACTTTGCAGCCTGAGATCTTCCGGCGGCGCGTGAGGGCGCGTGAGGCGTCGGACGGCTGCGATCTCGGTGGTGATGGAAAGCTCTCGTCGAGACGGTCGTCTGGGTATGCTGTACGTCTCAATCGGACTTTTGGTTAGTTCTGTAGGTCAAAATATATTTCGTCTCGGTTTACCTACAGATCTTCTACTGTATTACTCAATACACCCTTCTTCTACTTGTACCAGTGAAGCAACAAGAAGAAGATAAAGCTCGAATGAGATCTAGAGAGAGAGAGAGAGGCGTGGGGCGTGGCTCGTTACAATGAGATTGGGATTCTCTTCTCATGAGCTTAATGATGTATATATAGAGCTACAATAGGGACCTTTAGGAGATTAGGAAAAGGACTCCTTAATTAATTAGACTAACTGTGGACCAAGCTCACTGCTCTAATTAATTAAATAATATTAATGGGCCACCAACATTATATTTTTGCACTCCATTAATGGGCCACCAACATTATATTTTTGCACTCCCTTTTCCTAGCCCCAATTACATTTTAGACTCCAATAATAATTACTCGATTTACCTCCCCACGTTTAAGATATAATGTCCATGAACTAATTCGATTACTGAGAATCAAAAATTAATTAATTTATTATTATTTCACCGAAGCTAGCGGTCGTCCATCACATTCTTATTATATCGGAACTTAATCCACCTGCAGGGTTTAGCATAACAATCCTTCATGAACTCACTCAGGGGACATCATCAAACTAACGCACATGGTGACCGTAAATATCCTAACAGCACATCCTATGTATAATAATATTATCCAAAACAGTAGGAATATTAATCCAGCGAACTGAACCTTACCCATGTGAATCAAAGTAATATATATTATATATATATATCTGTCTATTTAATATCTTACGGGTTAAGAGAACGCTGTAATTAATCGAGGCCTAGTTCATTTACGACTATCAGCATAAAATGAACTTCTCCTCTCTGGGATCCTGTCAATACATAAATGTACTAGTGCAACTAATCAGTCAAGACAAACTGTACAGTTGACACTACAACCGTTCGGATGGGGTGTTCATGTCCATCTAGGTTGTGAACAACTATTCTTGTTCGCATGTGACTGGTAGAGTGATCTTCGGTTCGCCGGATGACGACCCACCCTATCTAAGTGCAGAACAACAGAACGTAGAACTTGTTTAATCTAACATGATTCTCATTCATAAAGGGTAAATGTGTAATAACATGCAAAACCAAGCTTTTAGTATATAACACTAACACAACTATCCTGGCCTGATTTGAGTCTCTTTCTATTGGTCCCCCAACTATCATGTGTATAACCCCTTTCTTCGGGGTGGGAGCTCATCTTGGTCTTCCCGGCCTCTTTTATGCACTTCTTTTCTATCATTCTCAAACTCCAGTCTCTCTAAGAACAATTCTTTTAGGTACCCAACTCGTATTAGCCTCTCGATATCATCTTTATGCTCCTTGCAAATGTCTTTCGTGTGCCCATAGTCCCGACGATAGAGACACTATGCCTCAAGAGGATCTATTGGTACTCTAGTTCTCACTATGAGAAGCTTGGGTCGTTTCAGCAGCCCAAGGTTGCCTCTCATTTCCATGACCTCAAAGACTTGTCCTCGGGTTGCCACCATGGCGGGTATATCAATCGAACCTTTGGACCGGTTTACATCCTCTTTCCTCAGCTTGTTGTCTATCTCGACCTGACTTCTTCTCCTACACCGCTCTTCAGGTTATCTTTCTTTCTCCCATTTTGCATCTAGCTATGAAAAATTTATTTGTACATCTTCCATGTTAATGTATTTTGAACACATTTCCAAGAGCTCATCGTAGCACAATGTAGGTCATTTAGCTAGTGAATTCCTAAAAGAGCGAGGTAGTAGCCCTCTAGTAAGCCCTCTTGTCTGACCTCCTCTGAGGCCGAAGGTACATCATCACATCCCCCCTATATATTAATTCAGAGCATGCTGACCCTAAGTGGCAGACTCGCATGCTTCGGGATCCTATGTGACAAAATTACATGCTTCGTTATTAGGGTTGGGTAGATTTTAATTTATGGTCATGTTTTCTTATTATAACCATTGAATTGTAAATATATTTTAAAAGTTAATAACTTTTGTATTTTTTATTAATTTTACATATATAATATATCAAATTAATTATCTCTTGATGAGCTTTGATTTAACATCTATATTGTATGTATAAAAAAATAAATTATATTTATCTTTATAACAATAATAATTTTTTTTAATATTAATTAGAAAAAATAAAATTATTTATCTATTAATATATTTATATTTCAATTAGTTATATGATATAAGTTATAAAAATTATTGCTCCCTCCTTTTTTTAATAGATGTCGTTTTGAGAAGTTGCACAGTAATTAAGAATATTTTTTTTGTTAATAATAACCCTCATTAATGAGGATAGAGATGAATGTTTTGAGAAAAAATGAAGAGTGAATATGAAAAGACGTAGTGTATTTATTAGCTAGATAAAGGTAATAATGGAAAAATATATACAAAAGATCCAAAACGTCATTTATTTAGTTAATTGTTGATAAAGCCAAAATGACATTTATAAAAAAAGGAGGTAGTATAATATACCTCATGTAAGTCGCACAAGTAACAAGTGTCATTCTAAAATATATAATAATATATATTTTTTGTAAAAAAGTAAATAAAATTTAAAATAATTTTTTTCATTAATTTTAAAATTTAAGAATAAATTTTTAACAAACACCCGTGTAATACATGGGTGTTGTACTAGTTCTTTAGTATAACAGGCTAATACGCCCCTAAAGTCTCATCTTCTTACTGCATGTTGATGAGTGCCAGGTAGGTTTTTCATGTTTGTGTCCACTCGAAAACTAGTTCGCAAACATTGAGCTGATTCCTTAGAAATCCTTCACCCACCCTGGTGTGAGTTGGGAAAACCAGTTTTGTGAAGGCTTTTTAACATAGCTAGGAGAGCCCTACTACACACATGATCGTTGTATTTGTGCAACACAACCATGTTTTCAAAGCTCCTTAGACGTTGCATTGGGTCTATAGATCTATAATAAGACAGGGTTAGCTCTCGGAACCCATGCGACAAGCTTGCATTCAACACATCATCAGCGAACGGGTGGCCATAAAGCCGAGGACCGCATCTCCCTTCAATCTTTTTTTCGAGTTCGCGTAGTTGAGCAGCCCTGCGTTTCAGAGCTTAGCCTCGGCGGGTTTGTGATGCCAGTACAAGTGAGTTGATTGATCACTCTGGCTCGTCTTCTTTTCGCCTCGTTATACCGTGTCACTACGTAGGTTGGACTGTGACCTGCGAGGCTACTAGGACTGGCTGGGTGTGTGTCGCCACTACCCTCCGCAATCATCTTTTCCAGTTTAACTTCTGTGACCTATATGAGTGTCTCCTTAGGAGCCTAAGGTCGGGCTTCTGTATCAATAGGTCATGTGTCCAACATAAAGTTCCCCCACTCCCTCAACGACTTCCAGCTGCAACGGTGACCCATGGCCATGACGGGACCCACCCTCTTGATTTAGCTTCGACAGGGGTCTGGCTTGAATCTCCATAAGACAAGATGTCTCGGTAATGGGGATTCTCAGTGACTCCTTGCTAGCACGCCACCCCATGGGTGGTCTCGACCCCCTAGGTAGTGTCTGCAGCCACCCATCCTCGCCACCTCGTTCTCCCTGAGCTGGTTCTCGTTTCGCCATTGATGCTGATGAAGACCTTGTGTAGGTTGTGGAAAAATGCAGTCCTAGTTCAACTTTGGTAGAACTTGTTTTCCCTAGAAATCTACCAAATAACTCCGCTTCTCAGGTGACCGGTTTTTACTTAATCTCGGGGATGAAAAGCCCAGTAACCCAAACACCTGGAATGAAGCTGGTGATCTGCAAAATAAGGGCCGGGAGGTGTTTCCAGCTTTAGCACTTCTATGATCAAGTTAGTATCGAAAAAGAGAGAGATATTGTGATTAATGCTTAAGATTTCAGATGAGGAAGAATAAGTATTTAATCAAACCTTATCCTATTTATATTGTCCTTACCTTGATGCCCAATTAATTGTGTGCCTTGATGGCCAAGAATTCTTGTTGCCCATGGGTTGCCGAAAAGTACAACTTGCTGTCCAAGGACTACCCGAGATTCGTTCTTATCCCATTATTGTGTTCATGTTATTGTGTTCACACTTTTGGTTTTATTCAGGTGCCTCAGATATTTTAGCCGAGCTATGTTTGGTCGTGTAATGGGACCTTCAGGTTTCAGTAGGAGAGCTCCTCAATGGTTGACCCGTGCTTCTCCCGAGCTGATTATCTCGATAGCCTCAAGTAGCTTGAGTCCTGTTTGGTTAAGCTCAATAGCTCTAGGAAACCCCACTTACCGACCTAGAACATGTCGGTAACCCCGGGTCAGCAACCCCGACCAAGGCACACTCCGAGCTAACAAAACTGGCCTTACCGAGTTATTTGTATTGTCTAGCTGTATATTAGCTATATCAGTTATATAAAAATAATATATTTTTATAAAACATTATAGAAAATAAAACAATAATTATTTTTATTTTTTAAATTTTTATATATAAATTATTTAATTAATGCCTATTTCATTTATGAAAATCTCAACTAACAAAGAGTATTAGAATTCTAACACATACAATTAAAAGGTCAATATAAATCTAATTATCAGTACCAACAATTACAATTTCAACTTTGTACCAACAATTACAATTTCCCCAAAGTGGGTTGAAAACTTGAAATTCTTGAAAAGGCCCTCAAATATTATTTAGAACCCAACCAGAAAAGAAACATCACAGATAACAGAGAAACATAGATAAGCGAGGAGCCTCTTGAAAAACATAGTAATTGCAATGTTGAATCCCTAAATAAACCAAATCAGCTATATGTATGCGCAGGAAAAAATTAATGCTGGTAAATTCTTGTATTTTCAGATAGATTGATTATCAGACAAAAGTTCTTCACTGGATGTATTCATTGTTTTCATTTTTGTGTTTTATTGATGTCAACTGTTGGTGCCTTTTGATTCTCATCTCACCAGTTGCTCCTGAATTTGGGGCGATTTTCTGTGGGACTGATTCTATGGGTTTATGCCTTCTCTTTTTCTTCTCTTTTTTCATTTGCAGTGAGTTTACTATGTGAAATTTTGATTGATATGGGGTGGAGATGAAACTTTGAGCCCATATGATTTATGGGTCCCTTTGTTTTATCATCAAAGTTAAATTTTGGTGGTAGTTAGAAGTCAAGATGATATTTTTATCTGATGAATTGTGGTTGGCCTGCCTTTTTATTTCTGTTTCTTCTTAATCTTCTTGGACTTGGAAATGATCCTATCTCTGTAACTATTTGTTTCGAGGTTCCAATTGGATGTATTTTACTACAAAATTGCTGTTGGTTAATCGGATGAGCTTGCTCATGATCAAGAGCCCTCTTTTAACACTGGAAAAAAATTAATTGGAATTATTTGGTAGTGATACTGCAGTTTTTTTCTTTTTTCTTTTTTTTTTTTTATTTTCTTTTTTATAT